ACCAGGTTTTTCTTTCCTTTTAAATATTTCTATTTACTACGTTCTTTCTGTCAATCTCTACAAGAGAACTCTTATCACATAAAAGTTTCTGGTGCTAAAATGTCATGTCCCTTTATACTCAGTTGCAGAAAACTTGCCACAGAATGCAATTTCTGTGGCTAAAGTCTACATTCTACATGAAAATGTGCCTGTGATTCTTGCTTCCTCATTTTAGCTCCTTTCTTCTGTGTTATGGGTTGCCATTCCTTCTCCCCAGATTGCATTAATGTGACTGTGGGAGGCCTAAGTATAAACTAAATGCCTAAAATGATCCAGGCTAAAAATAACCCTCCAGAAACAGGTTACAGGTCACACCTGTTTATTTCAGTATCTTTCTTCAAACTCTGTAATGCAAAGGTGGAATTCATGTTTAAACTTTGATCATGGTTTCTCCAGTGATGATCGTTTTAAAGGAAGAATATAGATAATATCCTTAAGTCTTCTGTATCTCCTGCAGTTGATCCTAACACTCTAGCTCTCTGGTGCCAAAATCCCAAACTACTCATGTAGAGTTTTGTCTGAACCTGCAATGTATTACATTTGTGGAGGCAGCTTCTGCTAAAAAATCATACAAAAAATATTGTGTGCATTGCTATGCACGTTCATATCGAAACTGGCACAGTTTTCCATCATTTAATATAAACAAAGGCTTGGTAGAATTTCTATTCAGCCTTACCTGTGGGGTGTAATAATTTGGCTGCAGGATTTAGGCGTAACTTGGTATGCACTTCAAAAGACCTTACTAATATAGGAAATGTAGGAGTCAGAGTGAGTTTTTTCCTCTAAAGCATGGGAGATTTGGAAAAAAGCTATGTTGGCATGGATCTTTCCAGACCACAGTCTCACACCTCTGCTCTTAGTCATGGGAGGAATGACTTCAATGAAGCTACTAACATTAGAGAAGGATTATAAATGAGCAGCGACTGCTTTGTCAGGTCAGCTGTGTCTGTTTTATCACCAGTTTCCAGGAACAGAGCTCAGTTTTAAACCGTGTTGCTCTTCCAGGGCATCAAGGACGTTGTACAAGTCCCTCTTATTTTGAAGGGTTTTCCATGAGCCAAGCGTTGCTATATTCTACTGTGAAAAACTGGTTCGGAATTAAAGGATCCCTGCAAGGAAAATAGGGAAATAAAAATACATGTATAGAGAAGGCATAGAGTGTATTGAAAGATAAAAATAGTATGCAACAGAAAACTACTGAGAGGATGTCTTTACTCCAGCTACTGATAACTTAGTATGGCAGCTTTCATACAGCTCTTGTTGGTTGGTGGGACCAGACTTCAACAATAATAAATGACTTCCTTTTTTATTAGATGAAATCAACTGGCCTGAAAAGGATGAAGCGCCACCTCCAGATGCCCAGGATCTGATTACCCTGCTGCTCAGGCAAAATCCCTTGGAAAGACTGGGTACAGGTTAGGTGGCGTTATTTTATTTTATCAGTATATTAGAAATAGCTTCTGTATTCAGCATGCCAAGCCTTTTGTTCTTGTGTTTGTTTTGCCAGGGAAGCATCTGTCAGTGTGTTCACTTGGCAGCATGTGCTTATAGTAGAGGTTATTTTGCAGATTCAAGTCTGTAAAAGGAGCTCAATAATATGATGATTGTAATCTTGTAGCATTCATGTGGTGTTCTTATTTACTCTTTTCTTACCCTGATGAGTAGAACAGAAACCTCTCAAAGATCTGGTTAGCCATTTGAAGGAGTTCCTTCATGAACACGTTATTAAATAACTAAAGGAGATTGAAACACAACCAACTCTTCCTTTGCCAGAAGCACCTTGACCTGGCAAATTAATTCCTTCCTGCCCTACAGTGGGTGATGGCTACTTGAACTAATTATTCAGCAATGAACCAAATCAAAAGCATGGGTGTTAAGGAGATAAATAGGTATCGCTCAGAGTACAAGCTGCTTATTCTGCTGTGTTCATTCAGTGCCAAGCCTGTTCCATTCCAAGTAGAGCCTGGTAGATGCATGAGGTGTAGTGAGCCTGCATTGGCTAGTGAAAGCACCGTGTGGCTATGGAGGACTGAAGAGTTTGCTAGCTGATGGAGCAAGATGGGAACTGGAGAGAGGGGCAGAAACAAACTGTTGCTGTTCATTTTTAAGGTACTAATATATGGGAGCCTTAGTTATTGCATCCAAGTTGACATGGCACAAAGCATAATTAGCTTTACCACAGTCACCTGGGGAGACATGAGAATAATCTAGACCCATAGGACTATTGCTAAGGTCTCAAAAGACAGGTCTTCACTTGGAAAGTATTGAAGTGGCAGCAAGGACAGAGCTATGTTTTCCTTTCTTCCTGAGCACTCGGGATCTGTGTGAATATCCCATAAGCATCGCTGTAAGTGATGACCTGGTGTAGGTGACTAAAGCTTGTTTTTCTCTGGCCCCACACTGAGCTAGGTGGGGGTGAGGGGATATTACGTGAGTAACAGTTTCTCACTTCCCTCCTGCTTCCATCAGCTGCAAACGGCACTGCCAAAGGCAAATTCAAGAACCAGAACTAGTCTGTCTCTTTATTTTAAATATACTGATTTCATGTATTGCCATTTCACTGCTCATGCCTTTTTTTCGTAATGTTAGTGCAAGACTGTTACCCTGTGAAATATTGGATCACTAGTATGCTGTGAGTCCAGCCTCTCTCTGTTTTGCTACAGCTGATTAAGGAAGTGAATTGGCTGGAATTGGGCTGGCCTAAGTGCTGTAATGGTCCGTGCTGCTGCATGGAGTGCCTGTTCGGTTTGCTGCTGGGCTGATTCCTTTGGACTGTTGATGGTCTCTCAAGAGCTGGTAGTCTGGAGATGGGGATCCTGCAGCCATTTCCCTGAATCACAGGGGGATGGTTAAAAACCAAAACGGAGCTTTGTAAGTGGCAGAAACAACTCAGAGAACCAAGACCACAGAGAACTGATCCCATAGGAGCAGTAAAAAATAGCACGGTTTATGCCTGGCTGCACCCTGCCTTTCAGGTGAAAGCCCCATCTATTTATTGCTCTTAGCTTCCACATTGCACTCCAGGAAAATAGGCAGGGATGGATTTGATCCATAGTGGCTTGGAGAAATGGAAAGAGATAGATGCTCTGCTACTTTTCAGGAATGAAGATGGTGGAGACAGGGTGTGTGTTTGTTTGTTTTTTGAAGTAGCAGGAAATTTTTGGTAGCAACAATTCATGATATAGGATGGCTGACACTGGGATCTTTGCGGTTGAAATGCCGGATATCTAGGCCGGAGTTAAGTAATTCTGTTATACTATTCCACTAGTATTCAGAAAGGGCAGAATCCATTATTATAGCTCACTGTTTGGCTAGTTATGTACCATTAGATGTGGGTTTTGTTCTCATTTAGAAAGATTGGGCTTCAATGATTTTTTTCCCTGATAAAGTGGGAAAAACAATGAAGTAAAGAATGCAACCTGGGGCTGTTAACAGCCTGACTTACCGGCTGGTCCTGGAGACCTGACTCTTTCACCATGGCTCTCCTCATCTCCAGGAAGCAGGTTTATGCACTGTAGCAATTTACAGGCAGTTCATCTTGCTGGTCTGTTCATTTTTCTGAGCTACTTTTATATTTATAAGCAGATACCCTACCTGCACTTCAAGATGAATTTCCATGCTTCACTGTGTTTTTACAGTTTTGTCTAATTTGGATTTAATATAGTTGCTTAAAGCAAATTATAACAACTAAGCAATCGTGAGACTATTCCATCCAAGTTGCCTATTACTTCAGTATAAGTAAGTACGCTAAAAGGAGCTCTTAGGCAGGGGTGGTGCTGTCATCAATGACTATTAAGGAGAGAATCAGTCTTCATTACTTCCCATCTTCTACTTACTTTTCTGTTGTGCATATTTACATGTTGGCTATTACTCCTGCAATGTCTTTTTCTTCAGACTAATGTGTAGCAGATGCCTAGTAATTAGCTTACTCAGAAAAATGTAAGTGTTGAGAAGGAAGGAAAAACAGGCACTGCTGTTGAAGAGATGGCAAAAGGAAAAGAGGAATGGGGAGGTGCTAAGACAAGTTTGGGCCGCTCCAATGGAAATGGGCAGTAGTCATTGAGGCCTTTCCGATGCTATTTGCAAGTTTTTGGACCATGAATTTAACTTCTTTAATGCCGACAGCCGTGGTTAATGAGTATAAACACACTGCGTTTTTCTCTGGCTCCCCCAGGTGGTGCCTATGAAGTAAAGCAGCATCAGTTCTTTCGCAGCCTGGACTGGAATAGTCTGCTGAGGCAGAAAGCAGAATTTATTCCCCAGCTGGAGTCTGAGGATGACACAAGTTATTTTGACAGTAGGTGTTAGATTGTATTAAAAAATGTGGTGAACGCCTTATTAAATAATCACTGTCTTTTCACTTTTACATTTACTTCCTTTGCTTTGAAAATACCATTTATGAATCAGTGGCAACTGTGGAACTTTTAAAGAAATAATCTTAACATTTTAGTAATGCTTTTAATTAATATTAATACTTACTGTTTGGTAAATTTAAATAATTTAAATTTGTTTTTTATAGCTCGTTCTGAGAAATATCACCACATGGAAACTGAGGAAGAAGATGATACAAATGATGAAGATTTTAATTTGGAAATTAGACAGTTTTCCTCATGTTCACACAGGTTTTCAAAAGTAAGTAAAATTTGTTGCAGTGTTTATTTTCAGTGTGCATATAATAAAAATTTGCTGTTTTTATGAGGTTTGGAAATGTCAAATGTGGAAGACATTGCTTCTCCATGAAACTAAGTATACTGGAATTTAGTGAGAATTAATACCATTAATTATTTAGTGAGAATTAATACCATTAATTCAGAACATGGGAGGATTCTGTAGGAAAGGGTGTCCTTCCTTCCCTCCCCAGATACCCCAGAAGGTAACAGAAGATTATATCCTCTCTGTAAATGGATTAGTATTTTCTGAGATGAGGGACATAATGATTTTAAGAGAAACTTTACAGAAACTGTGTTGGATAATAAGCCATGTTACTTATCTGGTTTGCTTCATAGTTTCATTGTTATTCGAGGTATGTAATGGTATTTAATGGGTACTGAAAGACATAGCATAGGTTATGTTACTGTCTCTAGCAGAAGAGAGCTTAGATTATGAGTAAAAATCAAAACAATTTTTTGTCAAGAAGAAATGTGGATTTGAGGGAGTGGTTTGCATTGTGTGGACTGAGGATAAATTTGAGTGTTGAAAATGAAGGATATTCTAGCAGTTGAGATGAGAGCTAATTATTGCTGGGCAGGGTTCGCCAGCAAGAGCAGAATGGACATGTAATACATGTGGTCCAAATAATGTAGAAGAAAACTGTCAGGAAATAAGAAGTGGAAAGTCTAATGAGTCTTTTAGTCTTGCAGAGCAGCCAGTAGCAATTTTTCAAAAACTTTCTGTTAATAAGCTTTGTCTCTAACTTGTTCTAGGAACTGAAAAGGTGTATTGAAAGCATATGGTTGTCTGTCCTGACTAATTCTGTAATTGATGAATTTTATACTGACACTGCAGTACTTCACAGTCTGTACTGATTCTGCATATACCTATCTGAGATAGCATGGAGGAGCAGAAACAGGACCTGCAACTCTGATTGCCCTCATTCAGGGTAACTGCCTGTTTGGACTAGGTGGCATGTACATAGTTCAAATAGTGATTAATAATGTAAAGTCTTGTTTTCCTCCTCAGAGTTATCTTCTATTCCTTCGAAAGCAACATACCTGCAGCAATGGCTTGGTATATTAAAGTCATTATGTCATTGCATCTCAAGCTCTTACTCAGGCTGTATAATATGCAGCTGGCAGTTACTGTATGTATTCTGTCAGCTACCTAAACAACAGACTTCCAGTGCTTGAAATTTATCTTCTGTGTGTCTTTTGGCAAAGTAATTCTATTCTTATCTTCATAGTCAATTCAGGTTCATTTTTTTTCTTCCTTTCTATACCTGACTGCTAAACATTAATTAGATATTTTAGGGATTTTTTTTTCTTACTGACTTTGTGGTGAAGGAGTAATACAAGATGTACATTGATTCTGCAACTTGGAAACCCCAAAGGTATGGATTTTGTTTGTAGGCTCATGGTTCACATAGGGAAATGGCAACATCACTCATGAATTCATAACAAAAAAAAACAGATGTTGGTTACTCTATATGTAAAGAGCCAAGAGAGCAAAACTAGAAAGTGTTTCTAGAACACAAATTTTTGGAATTTTAGAAAGGCTGACGGCACTGAGTTTATGATCTTAAATACTGTACAAGCATTTATAGCATGCAGAATACCAGGTATAATCTCCTTTCATGAGTGTCTGTTAATATCAGATATGTCAGTGATGGGTTGGTTTTTTTGTTTGTTTCTTTTTGTGTAATAGGTTTTTAGTAGCGTAGATCGAGTCGCTCAAACCCAAGGTGAAGAAAAAGAAGATGCAGGAGACAAAATAAAAAGTGTAACCTTGCCTTCTGTTGAATCTTTAAGCTGGAGTTCAGAATATTCTGAAATGTAAGTAGAAAGAAGGGTTGGAGGTGTTGTATTGGTTGTCTGTTAGCTGGCTTCGGCGTCTCAAAAACTGCATGAGGGTGTGTTTGTTTTTTTATTACAGCCAACAAATATCCACATCCATCTCCTCTGATACTGAGAGTGGTCGACAGCGACACAGTTCTGGTTTGCTCCCAAAATTGGCCATATCGGCCGAAGGAGAACAAGATGATCCCATTTGCTTAGCAGGACCCCCGGTGGAACAGGAAAAAGCTGCATTTGTGAATGAGGAAATAGTGCCAGATGAACCTGAAGTAACCACTCCAGCAAGCACTATCAGCAGCTCCACGCTCTCAGGTAATTTATAGTGGCTCTTCTAACTGATGATGTGAGAAGCAATTGTGATTCCTCTGGATTTTACACTAGCCTTCTAGGATTTAGAAGAAATAAATCTATTTCAGTACTTCTTTAGAAAGAACTGTCCCAGAAAGGCTTTGGTTTGGGCACTGGCGTAAACTAAAGAAGTCTTGTAATAATATCTGCAGGGAAGATGTCAGCATCTTTGGAAACGCTAACAGGTAGTGTCACTTCTCTGACTAGAGAGTTTGCCATGCAAATAAATGACATGGTGAGTCTGTGCAGGATCCTTCTGTGGAGAAATGAAGACTTAGATCCCCTGAGCTTTTAAAACAGCATTTTTAACAACTTTCCTCATCTGGTTGAGCATCCTAGAGTCTTTCCAACTGATCTGTCCTGCTGTTTTCGGGCACTCGGTGCTGCTCCATTGTGTGTTTTTTAATTGAGACATTTCAGTGACTTAGGCTTTTAGGACTGGCAGGATTATCTTTGAGTCATTGAAGTCTAGGAAGGATTCTTGCAAACAGTTCCCTATTTAAATAATAATTTTATTTTCTGCACACCTACATTTTCTGTGTGTATTTCAGTAGGAACCAGGACCTCTGTGCCATGCTGTTCTTGTTCTTTCAGAGGAGGCTTTGGCGTTACTGTGGGAAAACTTGATAGCTAACACAAATTTAGTGTATATCAGGCTCACATTTGACTGGATACAGGTTCAGATAATATCCTTTCTAGATGCACTTGTCTCTATCTTACTTCTTTTTAGCATCTCATCGAGTGGTCTCTTTTTAGCTTTTGTGTTTTATTTCCTTTCTATTGCCATACATCTAATTTCACTTCCAGTCTGCCTTTCCCCTTTTCCTCTCCGTCCTCCTTTTTTCTGGGAGAACTTCTGCAAGCCCATCCCGTTGTGTTAACTGGAACCATCTGTACTGTCTACTGTTGTCAAAGTCCTTATGTTGCCATATAGTTCTGCTGTTATGATGATGGCAGTAACATAACAGCACTAGACATAGCTCAAAGACAAATTAAAAAGTGCTTGGTGCTTGCTTCATATAATACAACCTCCCTGTGACATACTGAATCTTTGAAGAAATCTTTTGCAGGTTGTTTCCGTGGTACAAGCCACTTCTTTTACTGTTTATAGTGGTGGTGTCCTCCTTCCATTCACTGTTGAGGAAAACTGTTACTTAAAACCACATTACTATTAGTTTACTGTAATACTGAGTTTTGTGGTGCCAGGTATCTTGCTCTGGTTAGGTGTGGTAGAAAACCACACAAAGAACAAAAGCAAAAAAATGATAATTAAATATAGAGTTAATATTTTAATGATTTAGGAAAATTTATTAAGCTGATAGCATCTTAAATAACATTAGAGCCTCTCATTATCCTTAGTAGGAGTTCGCATGCAGAATGAATGGTTATGAATGATTAAGTTGTGTAAAGTGAATGTTGCGTATTGAGTTGCCAAGCTTGCATCAGCTTTTGTCTTCACTTTGCTTTAGTGATTACAAGCTAAATCTATTGTTGTCCCTGCTGCCCCGGTTCAATCTGTTACCCTTTATGGGGTCTATAAGCCCATGGAGGACCTGCTTTTTTTGTTTGTTTGTTTTGTTTTGTTTTTCTTCAATGTTTTACAGACTTGCTGACAGAAAGGAAAATTTCTATCTCATAATTATATCATTTCCCCTCCCTGATCCCCAGTTTTTCTCAATGTGTTTATCCCTTCTTCTTTGTACAGTTGGCAGTTTTTCAGAGCACTTAGATCAAATAAATGGAAGAAGTGAGAGTGTGGACATTGCAGACAACTCCTCAAAGCCACCTGGTGAAGTTGCTTCTCATATGGCTCGTCAGCGATTAGAAAGCACAGAGAAAAAGAAGATCTCTGGAAAAGTCACCAAGTCCCTTTCTGCAAGTGCTTTATCGCTCATGATCCCAGGAGGTACAGATAAATTTTGGTTTCAAGTGTTATGATTTGTACCTACTGCATGTTTTATGATGTAAATTCAAGGTTGTGGAGAGTCCAAAGTGGATTCCATGTCACATTTTCTTGTGTTCCTGCATGCTACTGGATGGTCACATTTCATCTGTCAGCTGCGGTGGTCAGACCACAGTTGAGGGAGCCTCTCTCCCAGGCAGCCTTTAGTTCAGCCATGTGCCTGCACAGCTCATGCACGTTTTCAGTCCCGGCTCATCCTCTGAGCCAGGGCTGGCACTGCAGTTCTAAGGAGATGGCTCTTTTGCTGCTCCCTGGAAAGTCAATAATCTGTCCTAGCTACATGTCCTGCCTGGTTAATGCTTTCACATCCCCTCGGAGGACAGGTGCTCAGTAGTGTCCCAAAGATGGAAGAAGCAGCCTGCAGGCTCCCGTTTGGACTACAGGAAATGCTCAAAATATGAAGCCAGAAATACTGCTGTAAATAAATAGAGGATGATAGTAATGTTGAATGTTTCCAGGTGAACCACTGGCCACTTTGTAATGTTTCAGAATGAAAGTCCAGCAGTAACTTCAGCAGGTTGTGTTTACCTTTTCAGTAAGACACACACTCATAACTTTTCTTTGCTGAGTGCTCGGGTGAGTGGAAAACTGCTCAGTGTTAAAGGGCTGCTGTGGCTATCACATGAGCTGACTTGCCAAACTTCACCCGTGTCCAGAGTGTAGAGCGCATGTGCCGTAGCACTATGCCTGCTCTCCTTGATACCTTGGTCAGGAAATGCTGTGCTCTTCTGCATGTTCTCAAGCCCTTGGGGAGGTAAAAGGCCAATCCTATGACTATTACTGGAAGAATTTCTGATGCACTTGATAATGGCTTCTTTTCTTCTTTACCAATTCAAAGAACGGTGTTGGCTTCCTCTCTCATAACTGTAATACTACCAATTGGCTGTGAGTGTTTATTTTTTTAGTGAGGTAAGTCAAGAGGAAAATGTTGAGTCCTGATTGAAGAGGAATGTTTTGCCTCATCTTGAATTCTTGGAGGGCAATCAATTGGCAATGAAAAAAATGCCTACCATGTCAAAGCGTATCTACCCTCACATGATGTCACTTGGCATAGAAACCATAGTTGGAATCTCTGTGGACTGTGTTCGTTGCAACAACTGTCATCCTGTTAGTCACCAAAATATTTTTTTATGCTGCTGCAGTTGCATTTATATTAGCATGACTGGGAGCACATAGTGCTCTCAAAACAAGGAAATCAAATAATTGATATTGTTGTTGCAAAAAATTCTCAAGGGCTTATGTGAAATGGCAGAACGTAGAAATTGAGGCTTGATACAACTTGAGAGTTACGTCCTATGTGCTAACCAGATATTACAGTTTAATTACGATGATATTTACTATATATAAAGCTGTATGCAGAAAATGAAGTAGCTAATGCTTACTTTAGTGCTGATAGATATGGGTGGGCAGAGGGGTATAGCGTATTCACAGTACTGCCAATCTCTGCGGTTCTTTTCAATTTTCAAGTACTAGCAAAAGGACCAAGGTTTGTTCTTGCAGAGTTACTGATGAGTGTGTGTCCTAGTTGAAAGGTAAAAGCATCCTGGAACTAATGAGCTAAAACTAGCAATAAGAAAACAAAAAGAGGTTATGTTGTGGGGGAAGAAATTTAGTTCCAAGATCTGGTTGTCAGTCAAGTTTGTGTTACACCAAGATACACTAAGCTTGTGACCCATTGAGGGAGGAGAAGGTTCTGGATATAAATGCAGTGAATTAATTTGGCACAAAGGTGTCATAAAACTTTAAGCAGGTTCACTGTTCTGTGCCTGTGTTTCTGTGTGCTCAGAATGTACTCTGAAGGTTTTCTCTGCTTGTTTTTTTTTCTTCTAGAAGTGTTTGGTGTTTCTCCTTTGGGAAGCCCTATGTCTCCTCATTCCCTATCATCAGATCCTTCATCCTCCCGAGATTCCTCTCCTAGCCGTGATTCTTCAATCGCTGCTGCAAGTCATCATCAGCCAATAGTAATTCACAGCTCAGGCAAGAAGTATGGCTTCACAATCCGAGCGATCAGGGTTTATGTGGGCGACAGCGACGTCTACACCGTGCATCATATTGTTTGGGTAAGATAATTTTTGGTTGGCTGTTTATAACCACAGAAGGCTGTAATGATATATTCATTCTTGATCTTTTGTACACAGGATATCTGTCTGTTGACAGTTACTGTGTAAATAGCAATATTATGCTAACTAGCTTGCTTGAACTTAAATGGCCTGTGCAGAAGCCCAGTGTTGGCTGTAAGGATAACACGAGCCCTATAATGGGACGTACCTACGGATGTTGATTCTCCGTGTAGTTCAGTTTCACTTTTAGCAAGTCTGGTATTTGTGAGCAACCATTTCTATGTGTGCAGAGTTTAGCTTAAAAAAACAGAGGTGAGTGCAGCCCTTTTTAGGCTGAGAGTCAGTGACTGCAAAGCTAAGAGACTGTACACAGAACTTCTTGAAATATAGCTAGGGCTTACTGAATTATTTCAGCTAAGGGATTCATAAAAGTCAAGAGACTTGTGTATTTCACTAGTTGCAAGTAGGCTTATTTCCAGTGCTCATCTTTTGTGTAGGAATGTGCATGTCATTTGGAATTGTGGATACCTTTGGGGGTTCTGTGCTGTAGGAAGAAGGCTGAATATAATGAATAAATCATGTATTTTTCCTCCCTGGTCACTAGTTATGTGAACCACATGGGAGATAAGCTAAAGGACAAGACAGCACTTGCCTGTCTTTGATGATCAATTTCTTGTGAATATATATGTATATGTGTGTATGTATAACTGTATTGTTCTAAATTACTTCATCTAGCTGAAAATCATTTTGAAAATTTTCTTTAAAGCATTTCCGAGGCTTTGAAGATTCAGATGACATTTTATTTTAACCAACTCTGGCACGTTTTGAAATAAAAATGCTGCTGATGAGGTAGCATGTCAGTCATGTTGTTTACCTCTCAGATCCATTAATTCATCGGGAACATTGAAGCTGAAGGCTGATATATATGAGACTGATAATGGAATAAATCCCAAAATCTGATTTCTTGCTGTTAGTGCCATATCATTATCAGTGAAAGGAAGGGAAGAAAAGTAAAAAATCTTATGTTGCAGTAGAAGTGAAACCTTGGATTTTTCAAAACACTGCATTTTTTAGTGTAGGTGCTGTTAGCAGCAGTAGCAGGCATGTGACTTGAAATTCTTAGACAGCATTTCTCAAAATGCATTATTTAAAATACCTTAAAAATCATTCGTAATTAGATCTGTTTTGTTTTTTCATCATCTTTGTGCTATATTATTTCCTCTAATGGAAAGGCTGGTGGGTTGAATCCAAATATAGATAAATAGTCCTGAGCTTTCTGGTGGTGTTGCAGATTTTTCTCTCGTAATCAGTACGGCACGTGATGTGTATTGCCTCAACTACATAAGTATTCCTTAGTGTCAGATGCTAAAAATCTTTATTCAAATCTGCAATTTTGCATGGGAGACTGACGAACCTCTTCCTTATCACGTATGAAAAATGCCCTGCTATCCAGAGCTAGCTTAACCTCAGCAGAAGCAAGCACAGTGTTTCCAGTGAGCTTTGGAGCAGTTTCTGCCCCTACCATAGAAGGATAAATAAGCAAGTGAGTAAATAAGTAAATGAGAGCAAAATGGCCAGGTGTTTTTTTTGTTTCCAGGTATAAGGCTGCTTCAGTGTCTTTAGAAGCTATCAGTTTGCACAAAAATAAACAAAAAAACTCTTGAAATTACAAGGGTTAATGAGTACATTTAGTGTATATTCTTTTTTTGCTCTGATTTCCAGAATGTGGAAGAAGGAAGTGCAGCATATCAAGCAGGATTAAAAGCTGGGGATCTGATTACTCATGTCAACGGCGAGCCAGTGCATGGGCTTGTTCATACAGAAGTCATTGAGCTGTTATTAAAGGTAATTTTTGGACAGCTTGGATACAAAAAGGATTGAGGGACTATGTTTGTGAGGGACTATCTTCCAGATATTAGTTATCAGGGTTTGTGGTTGTTCAGTTACAAACTCTAATATTGCACAGATCTGGAGAATAGCCGATCTCTGTGATTTTTTTTGTTACTTCAAGAAGCTGACACTTCCATGGTTACAGCTGTAGGTACATTCATAGGTACCAACACAAGGCTGCCTTTGGTTTCCCATCTTGGGAGTTAAAAACAAAACCTCAGAAAAGCACTTTCTTGAATCCCACACCTTTAGGAGGTAATTTAAACTTTTGATAATGATGCTATTTGCTGTTTCTCTCTCTCTTATTTCCTTTTAAGGTGAAATAAGGCAAAATGGAAACGATTTTTTTATTATTATTTATTTCCCCCTCTGTATGGGATTTTGTCTTCTGTAATCTTTAAGGCTCAGAAGTTTATTGGATCATATATTGCCAGATATGTTCCACAAAGCATCTTCTGTTAAGCAAAAGTCTGATCCTGCAGTTGGACCTCTGTGACAGATCTCTCATTTTTTTATTCTCTGGTGAAGTTGATTCCAAGGCCTATTTTACTAGATTTTTTTTTCTTCTAATAGGAAAAAAAAACTGTACCTTATCATATTGCAGTTTCTCTTTAATCTTTGTAGCACAGAATAAAGTAGGTCAGAATTATTTTAGACAGCTATACTTTTGTTTCCTACATTATTAACAATTTCATGGTGCTACATGCAGAGCTTTGCCTATCCGAGTGAGCAGTCAGTTATAAAAGAGGATTGGAAGGCAATGAAGTATCAGAGAATATAAAGAAATGAGAATAGACTCAAACACAGAATACACTTTTGTTTGACTCTGATTTTCTCCTCCAGAACCAATAGAAATTTCCAATTTTTGGAGGAAGCCCATCTTAGATGTGGTTAGGTAATTTTAGGCAGTTGGGTGTGCTGCTGTGTTTTTTTTGATAGTGCTCACATGCTGTAGTACTAAAACAAGAGAAAGCTGTTTTTTTTCTAGCTATTAGTCAAATTAGTATTATGGAAGTTATGGAAAACTACAGAGAAAGAAGCATGCCAACCCTGCACATTTTACAATAATCGACTCAGTTCAGCATATCATTGTTTATTCAAATGTGTTTACATCATAAAATTTCAATTATTGAAATTTCTTTACAAACTGAAGTTCACTGTAATATTACCAAGTGCTGGGCAGGATGTACATGTTTTAACGCATAGATGCATATTTAGAGTTTGTTTAGTTTATATAACAGATGTCATCTGTTCATGCAGATAGTCCTAGAAGGTTTGACTTAAACATTTCTCTTTTAAACTAGATCAAAGCATTTGTTGTTTATTTTGGGGGACTGATCCTAAAGCTTGTTTTCTCTGCCATTGCATGGGTCTAATGGTATCCTCAGACAAGACTGGCTAGTGAACAGAAACAGCTCTTCTTTGTGGGAAGAGGAGATGGTGTTTCTATAGAAACTTGCAGCCTTGATCAGTCCAATTACGAGAATTTCAATTTGTCCTGAAACTACTACTTAGAATAGAGGAGACTTAGAAACTGTAAGGATTGTAAGGCATTTGACAGAAGTTTCAGAATTTTCCAATCATCACTTTTAATCTATCATAAATTACCCTGACAACTTCTGCAGAGAGTTCCTTCTACAGTCAGCTCTTTCTCTGAGGCGGGGATTCTGTTTTGTGGCATTTGTTTTTGTAATGTAACCTCAATTTATAGTGAAGTGGGCCTGTATTTACTCATGCCTTTGTTTTGGCAGAGTGGTAACAAAGTGTCAATTACTACAACCCCCTTTGAGAACACTTCTATCAAGACAGGGCCTGCCAGGAGAAACAGCTACAGGAGCCGAATGGTGAGGCGCAGCAAGAAAGCCAAGAAGAAAGATTGCTTAGAGAGGTGAGTGATGCTTTTGTTCTGGTGAATATGTTTCCTTATACATGACATATGTAATAATTCAATTAAAAATAATCTTTCTTACCTTCTACAGTTTTTGCTATCTTCTCTGAGGTACTGTGTTTATAACCTATCCTTTTAATCCTGTTTTAACTTAATTAGTTCTCTTAATCCCCTTTAAAAATTTTACATGGTGTGCACACACAGTTATAGGGAGGAAAGTGAGTGTAACGAAGATTGATTCTTAACTTGGTTTTCCTGTTTGAGTACATAAGTTCTTTGATGGTAAGCATGTGTATTTTGGAAGTTCCTCTAGAATACTGGGTATTTTTTTTATTGCAAAGGGGCTTATTTTCAACACCTATTCTTCCTGCTAGTAAATAGGGCCATTTTCTAAAGATTGTTTCTACAGTGTAGTTGGCTTTCATGCAAACATAGATATAATATTTCCTTTTCTGAGAGCAGTGGGAGGGTGAAGCAGTGTCAACCTCAAGAGCTGTGACTGTGATAACCATATGTTTTGTACAAGCTATGTCTGGATAATGCTGGATTTTCTTCTCACTCTAGGAGGAGATCTCTCTTTAAAAAGCTGGCCAAGCAACCCTCTCCACTTCTCCACACCAGCAGAAGTTTCTCCTGCCTGAACCGGTCGCTCTCATCAGGAGAGAGCTTGCCAGGGTCTCCAACACACAGTTTGTCTCCGAGGTCACCCACCCCAAGCTATCGCTCTACTCCTGATTTCCTGTCTGGTGAGTGGGAAGAAATGGGGGTAAAGGAAGATATCTGGAGTTGAAGCATATGCTTGTGAGTTCCCAAATCTGTTATGCTCTGCCAAGAATAGTCAATTCTGACAAAGGTAGTCGCTGAGCATCTGTTTTCTTTCTGGAAAGGGAAAAACATTTCTGATGCAAAATCAAAGACATTTGCATGATACAGAAGCACTCTTTCTAGGAGACTGCCTGGTAGATTTGGTCCAGTGCTTAAACCAAGTAGAATGATTAAAAAATACATAATGAACAATCCAAGCTTAGACACCAGTGGAAGGTAAAATGTAACTGAGGAAGTAGTCGCTGTGTGGAGAAACTAGCGTGGGGTCTCAAATGCTCCTGTATTGTTGAAAAGTCGGGGTACTGACACCTTTCCGACTCCTAGAAGAGTTTCACCGGTCCCTTCTTAAGCCACTTGCTACAGTCATAATGTGAATATTGTAAGATCTATTGGAGGTAAATCATCTGAAAACCTTGATCGTTGCTTTGAAATTTTAGAAAGCTTTAGCTATTCTATAGAAATAGAAGGGAGTGATTGTTTAAAGAGGTGAAAGGATAGAGAAGGAAGGGGAGAAGTAGCAGCATGATCAGTGATGAGTTTTTGCAGACCAGTCACTCAAAATTTTCCAGGTTTTGGAATATTGTGACAGACAGCACATATGTCTTGAGTTAGTGCCAGTGCTGCCTCTCACTGTGTTACTAGACAAGATTCGAAGAATCTTACTAATTTTATGCTTGTTTGGTTTGTTCTTTTTGTAGGTACTAATTCTTCCCAGAGTAGCTCACCGAGTTCAAGTGCTCCCAATTCTCCAGCTGGCTCAGGACACATAAGACCCAGCACTCTTCATGGCTTGGGCCCAAAGCTTGGCGGGCCAAGATACAGATCAGGAAGACGCAAGTCAGCTGGCAGCATTCCCCTCTCCCCGCTGGCGCGAACGCCTTCGCCTACACCCCAGCCCACATCACCGCAGCGATCTCCGTCACCGCTGCTAGGGCATTCGATTGGAAATACAAAAATAGCTCAGACTTTCCCTA